AGCCATGTTTTCTTCAGGGAAAACTACGCATGTCACGTTGACTTGCAAGTCCCTGGCAATGACCTTAGATCACCTTGGAGCCAAAGTCTCCTGACTTTATAGACTAGTTATAATAATATATTAATAATAATCTTTGCATTTGTTATAGCACTTCCCATGTCAGGTGACTGTCCGAAAGAGCTTCACAGGATATACTGTAAAGTGCTGTGACTATCTGTTTTCTGGGCGAACGTAACAGCCACTTTGCATGCAGCAATGCCCCATAAACAGCTATGAAGTGAATGAGCAATTGTATTTGCATGATTGCATGACACCAGGCAAACCTCCCTTCTCTTTCTAAATAATGCTATAGGATTGTTAACATCGACCTGAACAGGCAGAGGGGGCTTCATTTTAACGTCTCAGCCGAAAGATGGCACCTCAGCTTAGACTGTATAAGTCCTAAGTCCCGAAATGGGCCTTGAGCCCCCAACCTTCTGAGAGCAAGGCTATCACACAAAAAGTTACTGAATGAGTGCAATATCAGCCCCCTATGTCAATGGCAATGATCATTATTATCCGTTGTCTAACCTTCAATTCCAGCCAAATTACCCTGGTCAAACGGTCAGGGTTTACTTATCCTCCTTTTATAAGGTTATAACCTCCTCTATATTGGTGTTAAAATGAGTGCGTCATTGCTGCAGTGGTACTAGAAAAGGCTTTGTGTCATTTTCTGCGAGAAATCCATTGTGTGGGACCCAAATTCATGAGACTTTTTGTCTAATGAGAACTCTCTTCCTTGTCAAACTCTTGTGAGACTGTGTGCTTTCCAGGAGATGACCCAGGGAAAATATATACATACAAAATATATACATACATGGGTAGTGAATTGGGGGTGTGCACAGTGCAAACACTTTATAAGAAAATTCATGCTGTAGTGAATGCGTTGTAATGGGGGCTACATGGTACATTGAATTTGCCAGTATAGTGCCAGCTCCGCGTGAAGAAACTGTAAAGTTGCACAGTCTATTTGCATCTCTGTCGAGACCTCCACGCAAGGCATGCACAGACTATGATTTGGGCACTCACTCGTCCTGCCACTATATTCTTCTGATTGAGAAGAGATTAATAAAGCCAGCTCTTTTCACTGAGAAGAAAATAGACTGACAAGCACAGAAGTCGCGGTGTTAAAGTGAAGATAATTAAAGGCAGAGTGTGTGTTGGTTGCAAAGAAAATCAATACATGCCCACCTCTTGGGAGTGGTTCCATTAATACAGCTACAATTGAAGTCAAGACATAACTGCACCTAAGTTACACTGAAACTATGGGCCAGCCTGAGAAATATTTAATTATGCAGTCTAGAGGAGGAATAAAATAATGGGGTTTTATTTACACTGAGGAACAAGGCTGAACATGGCTGCCATTTTAACATCTTTAAGTGCCTGCTTGTTTCATCTCCATTTGCACCTCATAAATCGTCAATAAAGTAAGTCACAATTATATTTGGGAGATTATTGGCCAGAGCAGCAATTTCTAAATAATCTTTAAACTCAACATAAAGACTTTGCTTTAATGCTTCTTTTGAAGGATAGCACCTCCAGCAATGTCACACACCTCCAGCCTGCATTGGAGTGTCAGCCTAGACTGTCAGTTCAAATTCCCAATGTGGGGCTAGAACCCACAAACTTTTGACTCGGAGCCAAGATTGCTACCAATTGAGCCAGGCTGACATCTTAACAATGCTTGCTTACCAGCCACATTTACTGAAAAAGTGGAGATTCATACACTTTTGCCATCCTCAAAGGTCTATAATAGACATGTGAAATCTTTTTCTGGGAACTGACTGGAACACAAGCTGAATCGTGTTCACTGTGCAGTATTTTTGATGAATTTAAATATCTTTACAACATTCTATTTTTTATTCTGTATAACAACAACAACAAAATTACATTAATAGAGCGCCTTTCACATCGGGAGGTCTCAAGGCGCTGAACAGTCAGGTATCGGTGCCCGAGCATGGGGGAGGGGTGGTGTAGAGCTGAGGGAAGGCAGAGAGGTGGGAGGGAGATCAAAGGCACGGTCGAAGAGAAAGGTCTTGAGAACAGCCTTGAAGGAGGCAAGGGAGGAAGCGAGGAGAAGGGACCGTGGGATGGAGTTCCAGAGTGTGGGGACAGAGAGGCTGAAAGCTTGGCCACCGATGGTAGGGTGGATCGGGCGGGAGACATGGAGCAGACCGGAGCCCCCTGAATGGAGGGAGGGGGCAGGTTGGTAGGGAGTCAGCAGGTCAGAGAGGTAGGAGGGGGCAAGGCCATGGATGGCCTTAAAGGTGAGGACGAGGATCTTGAACTCGATCCTCTGGGGGATGGGGAGCCAGTGAAGTCGGGCGAGGGTGCGAGTGATGGGGTCATGGAGCCTGGTGCGTGAGAGTACACGAGCTGCAGGGTTTTGGATGATCTGCAGCTTGTGAAGGGAAGAGTTGGGACGGCCGATGAAGAGGGAGTTCCCATAATTGAGCCTTAATGTGACGAATGCGTGGGTGAGGGTTTTGGCAGCCTGAGGGGTGAGGCCATGGCGGAGTCCGGCAATGTTGTGGGGGTGGTGGTAGGCAGTGTCGGTTATGGAGCGGATGTGGAGCAGAAAGTACAGTTCAGGGTCAAACAAGATACCCAGGTTCCTGACTGGTTTAGTGAGATTGAGTGTGCAACCGGGGAGATGCGGAAGCGCTGGCACGAGCCAATCAGAAGGGCCTCGGTCTTGCTGATGTTCAGTTGGAGAAAATTGTCCCTCGTTCAGGACTTGATGTCAGACAGGCAGTCGGTCAGGACACCAGTGATCCTGGAGTTCAGGGTGGAGGCAGGGAGGTAGAGTTGGGTGTCATCCGCATACATGTGGAAATTTACCCCATGTCTGCGGATGATATCATCAAGGGGGAGCATGTAGAGGGTGAAGAGAAGGGGACCGAGGACAGAGCCCTGAGGAACACCGCACAACACCATGCAGGGGCTGGAGGAGAAGCCGTTTGTCACTATGAAGTGGAGGCGGTGTGAAAGGTAGGACCTGAACCAGTCAAGGACAGAACCTTGAAGGTCGAGGTGGGAGGATTGAGTGGTCCACGGTGTCAAAGGCGGCGAGAAGTCGAGGAGGACGAGGAGGTAGAGGGAACCCTGGTCGCATATGGTCAGGATGTCGTTTGTGACCTTGACCAGAGCAGTTTCCGTGCTGTGGCCTGTGGGCAGCACGGAAATCCAATTGGAGGGGTACATGGAGGGAGGGAGAGGAGAGGGAAGCTGGGAGGCAATGGCTCTCTCAAAGAGACAGGAAGGGGAGATTTGAGATGGGCCGATAGCTAGATAGCTGTGATGGGTCGAGGGAAGGTTTCTACAAGGTGTTGTAAAAGATGTTGAGAACAAAATGTCACTGCTGGCTGCATCCTATTAACCAGAAGAGTAGCTGACAAAATTACAAATTTATAAAAAAGTAAAAAGTAAATGTAAATTATACAGATCAGGCTTCAACAGAGGTGAAATTGTAAATAGGTACTTGTGGAATTTTGCTCGACAGTCTGGGGTTGTTGATGGGGGAGCAGGATGACATTTTGCAGATGTACCCTTCAAGAAATGAAACAAATGTGGCTACAACAACTTTCATTTATATAGTGGCCTTCACTCAGGATTGTGTGTCAGATACTACAAAATTATATTTGTATATCGTCTTTTACGTCAGGAGGATTACCGTGCATGATAGTGCATGATCTGTGGACAAGAGCTGATGGGCTAAATGCCCATTGTTTATTCTGTGCCTTCTTGAATTGCTGCGTTAATACACTAGGCTTGCCTGGTAATTAAAATAAAATGCAGTAACTGGAATAAGTCATCTGAGTTGTGGTGAGGCGATAGGGAAGCTGTGAATATTCACATTAATGAAGGTACAAGGGAAATCTTATGGAAGTATTCAAGATTCTACAGGGAAAGATAGACTCAACCCTAATTGAACATTTAGCATTGGCAAAACAAATTAGAAGACATTTGGGGACATGGACTCCAGCTCACAAGGCATGAGGTGAACATATATATCAGACTATACTGCTTTAAAGAGAGAGTGGGGAATATATGAAATATACACCATGGAGGTGGGGGAGGCAAATTGTGTCAAATTCAAGGGGAATTAAATAATAATAGCAATCCTTGAATTCGATATAGCGAGTGTAACATCAAATTTCACAAATGCTGTCAAGCATTGTCACTGCATTGTAGGCAAATGTGGCAGATAATTTGCATAGAGCAGATTCTACAAATAGAAATTTCTCTGGAAGATTGCTGGTCAGGACATATAAATAGCTATTTGATAAACAAATCTTTCAGTCTTGTTTGAGTACTCTTAAGCACGGAGATGGGTTTCTGCATGTGTCAAATACCAGGTTGACCAAAAGCGAAACAGGTTTTCAAATAAGCAGTTATATTTAGACGGAAAGAAAATGGTCAAAATTGTTAAAATTATCTCAGAAGTACTCTCATTCAAGGAAAACATGTTAGGACACGAGTTTCTACTAGCACTGAGTATTGATATAACACGATAAACACTGTATTGTTTGGCAGCTTGACATGAACATAATACAATGCCATTTGTTTGCATTTTTATAAACACGCTGTGGCAGTAAATTGAATTTGATAACTAAGTCACTGATTATGTAAACAAGTAACTGGTTGCAGCCAAGTAATTATTTGGGTTATTGCATATCAACAAAAGAGATGTTTGGGTTAATAAGTGTGCAGCATTGAAGGGCATTCAAACTTCTGAATGTTTTTACTATTTTGAAAGCTTTCATTGTATGGACTGCAGAGAAGAGTTAAAAACAATTGTCCACAGAAAATCAATAATTGTTCTTTAACATCACAATTCACTTGACATATACATTTCTTTAAACGGAATACTGCATCAATGTGACACAAGCTAAATTTGTAATGCTGTCTTTATATTCTTGTTTGACGGCAAATAAACAAATGTGTTCTGTTCCTCGTAGGGCCACCACAGACTACATGTAGACACAGGGCTGGAAGGTAAATGGTGTGGACTCATTCCAGTGGGAGCTCCATGTAAGAGAGTGACAACTACTGGTCTCAAGTGGAATCTGAGTGAGTACAATCAATGACTTTACAGTTAGATGTGGCATGACATAGTTTGGGGTGCATTTATTCATTATAAATATACAAGGAGAACTATTGTGATTGATTGTTTGCAAGATTCAAGAGTTTTAGTATTGCAGAGTTTTTCCACATTCACTGCGGAGCAGTTTCAATAAGTATTTCTAGGGAGTTTGCCCTGTAGCTGAAAAAGGTAATTAAGGACTTGACTCCCAAGTAAGTATCACAAATACGAATCTTGGGACTGCTTGGTACTTGTCCTTGCTTGCTTTAGATAAGTGAGATTCTCAGCCTCCAGCCGAGATGCTGTGTATAAAGTGATTTGATCTTGACTGGTGATAGAGCTTATGATGTCCAGCTCAGCTTGCTTTATACAATGGCAATGTAAATTAAAGAACAGCATTCATGGAGCTTCAGAGCAATGTACATAGCATAGAAGGCTCCACATTTTTATCGAGGGAACTGCAAAAGTTGGCAAGTAGCCTGTATGATATGGAAGAGTAGAAGTTGTTCTAACAGCTGTCTTACGGCTTTCTGTGCAACTTAAGTGTTGGACACAGTCACTGTAAGCTGATTCAGTGAAAAGCGCTATATCAAATGCAAGGATTATTATTATTATTATTCTATGCAACTTAAGTGTTGTACACAGTGACAGTATGAGTTCATGTTATTGGTTAACATTGTAGTCAATTTGTATTTTACCCATTATCTGCACTGCTTCCATACCCAAAATGCGGACACTTGCATGTGGATATCAGGCTTTCTACTCATGTTCAATATTAGGTTCTGCCTCAAAACACAGACCTTATATTTGATGTAGCACTTTTCATGTCGGGAGGATGTTTCAAAGCGTTCACAGGATATACTGTGAAGTGTAATGACAATGTATTTGGTTTGCAAATGTGGCAGCCAATTTGCACACAACAATGTCCCACAGACAGTCATGAAGTGAATGATTCATTTTATTTTGGGAGATTGCTGGCCAGGACACTGGGCGATACTCCCTTCTCTTTTCAATTAGTATCATGGGATCTTTAGTATCCACCCGAACAGGCAGGTTTAAACGTGGGTTTAAGCCTACCTGTTCAGGTTAAACCTCTCATCCGAAGGAAGCCAGCTCCAATGCAGCGTGCTCAATTCAAAATCCCAACATGAGGCTTGAACCCACAATCTTCAGAGCCAAGAGTGAAACTAACTGAGCCGTGCTGACACCCTTATAGAGGTATATGACATTTTAATTGGGAACAATACTTTTGGATCCACCAAGACAGTAGAAAAAGAAGACATAAGTTTAGAATTGCAGTTTCAGGGCAGATACTAGCAAGTATTTCATTACAACTGGAATAGGTTACCAGAAAGGTGGTTGAGCCCGGATGCTGGACTCGTTTATATAACAGCTTGATGATGTGATGGGAAGAATGTGGGTAGTCTGAAAGGATCAAATCAAATGCGCAGAAGGGCTTTCTTCATTCTAACCACTTTTGTGATTTTGTGATCATTGTTCATAGTCTTAGAAGTGTAGACATGACCCTATCAAGAAGGCCAATAGCTGCACAAGTACCTCACTGAGTGGTTTTACCTTTAGTTAATTCTCTTCTGCTTGTGTCTTGAAAGACATTCCCCCTCCCCAAATGTGTGAAGTTGAACTGAGACCACTCCAAATATAGTGGCAACGAATTGCTTAGCAGGTGGCTGTTGATAGTGTTGCAATCACTATAGAGATTTATGTTTTTTTTAATGGAATTAAATGGCTGTTAAAATTGGGCAGCAATTTCTGCACACTTCTAATTGAAATAGACATTTGTAAAGCTTTGGAAGATTTTGAAAACTGGCATAAAATTGTTGGGCAACAGATGGAAGAACTGATGTAGATTGACTGATAATTCCCCATGGGCAGTCTCTGAATGGTTAAGCAACATTTGTGGGGGTAAAAAAATCACTAAATTAAAAGGCTCCTTTTAACATTTTCATTAAGTTTGACACACTAAAATAGCTTTATGGTCTGGATCTCACCCAGAAATACTCATAGATATTGTGCACTGAATGTAATATCTCAACTTTAAACAGCAACAAAATTACATTTGTAAAGTGCCTTTCACCGTCAGGAGGACGTCCCAAGGCGCTGGATAGACAGAATTATGGATCCGAGCTGGGGGTCGGGGTCAGGGAGGGGGGAGAGTAGGGGGGGAAGAGGGTGATCAAAAGCGCAGTCGAAGAGGAGGGTCTTGAGATGGGTCTTGAAGGAGGCAAGGGGGGGTGCGAGGCGGAAGGACCGCGGGATGGAGTTCTAGAGTGTAGGGGCAGAGTGGCAGAAGGACCGCTCTCCAATAATGGGGCGAGCGAGGCGGGGGACGTGAAGCAGGCTGGAGTCGGAGGTCGCAGAGATGGGGGTAGCAAGACCATGGACGGCTTTGAAGATAAGGATCAGGATCTTGAACTGTATCCTCTGTGTAATGGGAAGCCAGTGGAGTCGGGCGAGGATGGGAGTGATAGTGTCACGGTAGCTAGTGCAGGAGAAGACGTGGGCTGCAGAGTTCTGGATGATCTGCAGTCTATGGAGGGAGGAGTTGGGGAGGCCGACAAGCAATGAGTTTGCAAGCCTCGATGTAATGAAAGCATGTATGAGGGTTTCAGTGGCCTGTGGTGTGAGTCAGTGGCAGAACTGGATAATGTTGTCGAGGTGGGGGAAGGCAGAGCGGGTCATGGTGCAGATGTGGGATAGAAAGGACAGTTGAGGGTCAAACAAGACCTAAAGGTTCCAGACTGGCTTATCAAGGTGGAGTGTGCAACCATGGATGGTGATGCTGTCAGCGCCTGAGGTGAGGAGGCTCTGACGGAGCCAATCAGGAGAGTCTCGGTCTTGTTGACGTTCAACTGAAGAAAATTAGCTCTCCAGGACATGACTTAAAGTGTTCTAACAGATTCTAATCACAGAATAAATCCATTCTTAAGCAAATTCATATTTTTCCAACACAATAAATTTAGATATCAAAAGGGAACACATGCTTCTTGGTCCAAATGACACATTATAAGTGGCATCTGCAGTGCTAATTGTTTCTGGTGTCTGTTTCCGGATATGAACATCAACTAACAGCTTGGACACCCTCCACATAAGCTGTGCAAGGTATTTAAAAATATGGGGGGAAAGAGGTTCTTTGGTTCCAGTTGAAGAAAAAGCACATCTGACTGAGTGGGCACATACAGTTTATCACTGTCTATATTTGCGTTTGTTAAGCATGATTTCTTCTGGTACAGTTCATTTTACTAAACTAGCGGGACTAAGGCAGAATTACAATACTGTCTTGGAATTACAGGTCATTCGGTCCAACTAGTATTTATTTGAGGGTATTTATGCTCCACATGAGCCTCCACCCCTACTTATCTTTCCCTACCCTTCTGCAATAGCCCCTTATTCTCTTCTCCCTCATTAATGCTTTGAATTTGCACTTAAGTGAGACGTTAAGCCGGGGTTCTGTCTCCCTGTTCAGATGGACATTAAAGATCCTGTAGCACTATGCGAAAAGAAAAGGGTTTCTCCTGGTGTCCTTGTCAACATTCCTCCAAATAAAATTGGTCATTTGTTACATGGCTGTTTGTAGGACATTGCTGCGTGCAATTGTGCTGCCACGTTTGCCTACAAATATACAGTCACTCAATTTCACAGTAAATCCTGTCAAGTGCTTTGAGACGTCTCAAAGACATGTTAAGGTGCTATATCAAATTCAAGGATTATTATTATTATTGGCAGTGAGTGTTGGCAGACTATTGGCAGACCATGCGGATGTTAAAGATCCCATGGCACTATTCAAAAAGAGAATGACGTTTCTCCAGGTGTCCTGGCTAACAGTCCCCAAAATAAAATTGGTTATTCCCTTCATGGTGGTTTGTGGGACATTGTTTCGGCAATTTGGCAGCTGCCATCTACAAAATACAGTCACTACACTGCACAGTAAATCCTATGAAGCGCTATGAGAAGTATTCTCTATATGAAAATGCACTATATCAAATGCAAAGATTATTATTTATTTTATATGTCACTATTTTTGCCCAACTTCAGGCACTGCCGATGGCATTTTCTGATTTGTGAAAAAGAGCTTTATAACTCAATCACACGTTGCATAGGCTTACTCATTTTTTGTTAGCCATTGAGTAAACTTTTATTCGTGCATAAATATTTACTGAAATTCCCCTCTGAGCCTCTTTTTTAATTACTCTTTACGTAATTCGAATATTTAAGTTACTGCAACGTTTATAACAAATCTAGGAGTAAGTTTTTGAGAGCGGTATCTGTACTTTGTAAAAGCTTCTGGCAAGAATCGTAATATGTGAAATGATTTTTAATGGATTTTGGGTTCTGATATCCCCCACTGGTGAGATGCAAATTCTCGTATAAATTATGTATAAATTATTGTTTGGGAGATTGTATGTGTTTGATAATTATTCAAATGGGGGAAAATGCCTCTTGACAGGAATAAGCCCACAAACAACACATTGTATACATCAAAGGTATCAGAGATTCTTTCTCCAGGCTTTCAGCTGAGACTACACCACATGCCATACGGCTCCTCTGGTGTGAGATAGAGTCGGAGGAGGACAAAGTGGCGAAGGTGAAGAAAAGAGCTTTAGGCCAGTGACCAAATGTGAGGAAGTAGGAGAGCTGAGGATGGAACCGAATGACAGGGTTGCTCGGTGAGTTTGAGAAATAGGCCAGGGGAGGTTGGGGAATTCAGAGTCGGAAGTGAGGAGATGTAGGTGTGAGCTGAGAAGAATGGCTTCCGTCATCGCCTTGTTAAGTTGAAAGAAATTGATGCCCATCTAGGCCTTTGATGTCTAACAGGCAAGTTGGCAAAACATCAGTGAACCTGCAACTGTAAGTAGAAGTGAGAAAGTAGATTTGTGTGTCACCCACACAGATGTGGAAGTTAACACTGTATCTGTGAATGATGTTGCTAAGAGGGAATATATACAGGATGACCAAAAATAACAACAAATTACATTTGTATAGCCCCTTTCATATCAGGAAGACGTCCCAAGGCCCTGGACAGTCAGGAATCCGCACCCGGTGGTTGAGATCAGGAGGGATGGAGGGCGGGGGATGGGGGTAAAGATAGGAAGGTGACCAAAGGCACAGTCGAAGAGGAGGGTCTTGAGACGGGTCTTGAAGGAGGCAAGGGAGGGGGCAAGGCGGAGGGACTGTGGGATGGAGTTCTAGAGAGGCTAAAGGCCCACCCGCCAATGGTGGGGCGGGCAAGGCGGGGGACGTGAAGCAGTCCCCTGAGCGGACAAGTTGGTAGGGGGTTAGGCGGTCACAGAAGTAGGGGGGGAGCAAGGCCGTAGCGTGCTTTAAAGGTGAGGACCAGGATCTTGAACTGTATCCTCTGTGTGATGGAAAGTCAGTGGAGTCGGGCGAGGATGGGGGTGATAGGGTCACAGAGCCTGGTGCAGGAGAGGACACAGGCTGCAGAGTTCTGAATGATCTGGAGCCTGTGGAGGGAGGAATTGGGGAGGCCGACAAGCAGGGAGTTTGCGTGGTCGAGCCTGGTTGTGATGAACACGTGGATGAGAGTCTCGACGGCCTGCGGTGTGAGACATTGGCCAAGAAATGTTGTGGAGTTGGGGAAAGGCAGAGAGTGTCATGGAGTCATGATACCATTGTAATGTCTAATAATTCTTAAAGAAATTACGATTTTTTTTAAGAAAATAGGGTAGTTATCATGACTTTTTGGTCACCCTGTAGATGAGGAAAAGGAAGGACTCTGCAGCTCGTGTACTCTCCCGCACCAGGCTTCGCGACCACATCACTCCCACCCTCGCTCGCCTCCACTGGCTCCCCATCCCCCAGAGGATTGATTTCAAGATCCTCATCCTCACCTACAAGGCCATTCACGGCCTTGCTCCCTCCTACCTCTCCAACCTACTATCCCCCTACCTACCTGCCCGTACCCTCCGTTCCTCTGGCTCCGGTCTGCTCCACATCCCCCGCCCCAACCGCCCTACCATCGGTGGTCGGGCCTTCAGCCTCTCAGCCCCGAGGCTCTGGAACTCCATCCCCCAGTGCCTTCGCCGCCTCCTCCCTTTCCTCCTTCAAGGCCGGTCTCAAAACCTTTCTCTTTGACCGAGCCTTCAACTCCCTCTCGACTCTCTTCCCCCTCCTCGCTCCCTCCCTTCCCTCCCCTCACCCTGACCATTTCCCCCCTCCTCGCTCCCTCCCTTCCCTCCTCTCACCCTGACCATTTCCCCCCTCCTCGCTCCCTCCCTTCCCTCACCCTGACCATTTCCCCCTGCTCGGGTCATGACCCAACTGTGCAGCGCCTTGGGACGTCCTCCTGACGTGAAAGGCGCTTTATAAATGGAATCTTGTTGTTGTTGTTGTTGTTGTGACCCGAAGATAGAGCCCTGAGGTGTTCCCCACAGGTGACGTTTGAGGGCAGGAGGAGAAACTGTTGGAGTAAACCAAGTGAAGGCAGTGGGTCAAGTAGAAGTAGAATCATGAGAGTGCAGTCCCATAGAGATGGATGAGGGAGTAGAGATGATCGAGGAGAATGGAGTGAGCAGCAGTATAAAAAACGACAGAGAGGTCAACAAAGAGAGAGAATCTGAACCAATCTCTCCGACTTTGCTGATGGTCACCTGCCCCTTAGCTCCTCTATTTCCCCTTTCTGAGCATCCAACTCTATCTTTGTGAAGCACTCAGATATTTTCCTGTGTAAAATGCGCTATAATAAATGCAAGTCGGTGCTGTTGATTATGAAATACAAAAGTATTTGGGGTCGAATACGCAGAGAGTCATATAAAGGTTTCTAAATATGGAACCCTGCACATATTGGTGTATTTCACACTAACTCGCTGGGGTTCTGCACTGACCTAATCTCTTCCTGGGAGCCTCATTAGACTGCAATCTGGTTTCACAGACACCAGAAATGAGACAGCCATCAGAGAGATTTTACAGTGGGTCAGTGGGAGACCCATCTGTTTACAGGATTTAGAAGTCCTATCCAATTGGCTGCCGCGTTCGCCCACAAATATGCAGTCAATTCACTTTACAGTGTCTTCTGTGAAGCGCTTTGGGACGTCCTCCCGACATGAAAAGCGCTATGTCAAATGCAAGGATTATTATTATTATTATAAACTGCTGCATTGTTAGACCCTAACGTCTAAAGAATAATTATCCAATATTATCTTTGATTCATTGCAACATTCACAAGTTTGGCACGTGCTTTCCTGACAAATATGAATTTGTACATTTAAAAGATTTGTTTTTCATTTTTTGACGGCTTTTAGTAATCAAGATGAAGCTTGTCTATACTGTAGAGTATGGCATTCACCACTTTCTGGGTCCAATGTCAGCATCAAGTCAATTACCCTGCAGGTTAGGAACAAAATAAACCACTTCTGTATTGTTTCACAAATGTCATCTTTGTGGTCTTTCTAAGCAAAATTGTCAGTTTAATACAAATTACAGTACCTTTGAATGACGTGTTGTTTGTCACTGGTATTCAGTCATGCTTCAGTTGTGGCATGATTCTAACCAGATGGTAGAAAATTAAAGGTCAGTGTTATCATCTATTGCTTGTCCAAACCGGCTGGACTTGACCTTTTTGAAAAGAGAAGTTTCAGAAAAGAGATGATTTGAAAGTCTGAATGAGCTATATCCTTTTTTATTGTTTGTCACTTTTTTGTACACCTGTAAGCATACTGTGCCTGCATGGTATCTATCTCCTTTGCCGTTACTTAGCCATTATTTATTGTGCAACAGTTATCAAAACAGAACATGGCAATTTATATTGCATGGAAACACAGGATACACTATTTTAAACAGTCAGTTCTCCTTTGCCATAATTGAAATTCTACGCATGAATTTCTAACTCACAATATGCATTTGTTCTGCTTTCCCTCCTCTATTCCTGATTCTTCATATTTTTCACCTTTTTCTTGTTTTATTTAATAGGATATGTTTCACTCTTATTCATAAGTATTTTTGTTTCAAACTGATATTTACTCCTCTATCCTAACCTTTCATAAATCTCTCCTTTAGATCTTTTAGATCTTTCACCCATAAAATACAGTCAGTTCACTACTGTGTACCCTGTGAAGCGCTTTGAGACGTCTCATTGACTTATTATTATGATTATGTTATTATCTTACCTATTGTGTTAAAGCTGGTGAGATGCAAACGACTCCTTCCCCTCCACATCATCCCAGTTTTGGCATAAAGATTGTGTTTGAATATTTCGGCGCTCCAATTGTTGTTTCCAGTCATGGTGAGCAGCCTTTCAGTTTTAGCAGCATCTAAAACTTTGATGCTGGCTTAACTCAACCAGTGTCCCATCAAGCATTACTTGACTTGTGGAGTCCTGTAGCTCAGTGGTTAGAGCACTCGCTTTGCAAGCGAGAGACTTGAGTTCATTTCCAGGCAGAGGGCAAAACCTTGGGCAAGTTTCCTTACTCCACACGCCTAATAATAATCCCTCCAAAACCAAAAACAATAATAAAATTGGCATTTTCAATCTACGACTGTTTGTGGGACATTGCTGTGCGCAATTGGCTGCCGCGTTCGCCCACAAATTTACAGTCAATTCACTTTACAGTGTGTTCTGTGAAGCGCTTTGGGACGTCCTTCCGACGTGAAAAGCGCTATATCAAATGCAAGGATTATTATTATTATTTCTGTCTTTGGCTTCAAGGAAATATAAACAAGACATGTTACTGCTTAGTGGAAATCTAAATGGGCAGCGAACCTCTTTGTAAATGGGCATAAGACCGAAGCAGAATGGAGAGAGGGAGAAACACTCCCAGATTTAATGATAATAAAACCGGTTTTAATTGTGATTTTCAGCCAGCCAATAACTATCACCAGTGTATATTGTCATCAGTGGTAATTTTAACATTAAATGTTGCGTATTTCACTCTTTTTGAGCCAGAAAAAAGGATTCCAGACAATCCTGCTGAACCACCTTCACATTTTGAAATATTAGCAAAGAGCTGGTCAGACAATCAATTTAGTAACAATAAACATTTCAGTGACATCGGGATGGTGATCCACAGTTCTCTGTGCATTTATATCCTGATGTGGAGCTGATAATGTACTTCAAAACTGCTGGTTTACAGTTTAAAACAAGCACTGGTGTCAAACAGGTGCATGAAATATAACTGAGCCATTGGTAGCAGAGCTGCACTTCCAAGTATTTGCTTTAATGTTTTAAACATCTGACACAAATGAAGCATGTTTTTTTCTTTATCATAGGCTACTTGAAGTCAGTGGTACTGAGAAATGGAGCATTATTTAAACATAAAAGCACTGATAAACTGCTGCAAGTGCAATGTTGAATGTTATGCTTTAAGTTTTGAGTTTCAAACGATGGAAGAGAAGTGAGGCTCCTGTCAGATCTTCAATAACTTTTAAACTGTCACAACCACATTGACCCAAGTAGGCAAAGCAGCATGAATGCTACCAACTGAGCCAGAATGATGCCTGGCTTTAGGATCCTGGTATTTTTGACGAATGGGGAATGGAGTGTATTTTGCACAGTGGTTGAGCCCAAAGATATGAGCGCTGTCACTGTTTTTTCAATCACCAATCACAGAGTTGCGCTGCTTCATGGGATCCCATTAACTGAATCAGTATTCCATGAAACGAAAATCAAACTCGAGATTTGGGGTCAGGAACCGGATTCATAACGGCTGACAAGAATGAAGATGATGCATAGAAATCTTGGGACCCAACCAGCAGGCAGTCATAGCAAATGAATAGAGTGAAAGGAATCGCATATTCTAACCTGAATTCAATTGAACATTTGGTTTTCTGTGTGAAAAGTAATCATTTTATAATAATAATAATAATAATAATCCTTGCATTTGATTTAGCGCTTTTCACGTCGGGAGGACGTCCCAAAGCGCTTCACAGAA